TACAGATTATAAATCAGTTAGTTTTAAGCGTTGAAAATGGTTATTTTGCATTATGCATCTAGATATAGACATTAGATATTTGTATCAATGTATACTACAACGTTTCTGCAATCGAGTGTGTATATATATATATATAATAAATTAGATATAATAAATTAGAAACGTTGTAGTATACGTTTATACAAGTATCTAATTTATTCAGTACTGTATACATTAATACATACATATACCTAATAAGATGCAAGATATCAAATATGATGCAGAATGTAAAACAAGCTTAAATACGACTGCTTAGCCACAACATTTTGTGGAAAATACTCTTTTAACTTGAGTTTGTGCAATACTTATGTCTCTGATATATAACAGAAGATGAATAAGACAAAATAAGTTACTTTTTATCGCTGTATATAAATATATGAAAAATCATGTTTATCTTTTTAAATTGATAAATGACATGCATGTCATTAGAATGCTTCATCAGAACAGTATCACATCCAAGTYGCTGAGTCGTGCAGTCTTGTACGCACTACCAAGACTAAATGCTCTGTAAGTAATGAAAGGTATCTTAACGGTATTGTCATAAAAAGTAGGTTTCTCTATGACGTGAAAGTAAAGGTATCTAAAACAAATAAATAAATAAATAAACAAACAAACAAAGAACAAATGGTTGAAAAGTAAACATAGGTAGGTTGAAAAGTAAACAGCAAATTAAACAAGCAAAGAAACCAACAGAAAACCACTGACCAGCAAACCCTATAAAATGGAAAGATCGTAAACGTTAACTTACTATTCTTCCAATGAATATCAATGCCATCGATACGCCGCAGTTTAATATCATAGTTGTCACATAAACAAATCTTTATGTACAGATACTTTCGGCCATTATGGCATCACTAACTTCCACACTACCAGAACCGCTTCCACACTTTCTTTTGTTCAGCTAATATAATAAGCCTTCAATTACCTTCTCACTTTTTTTCAGAAGGAAATGCAAATTTGAATAAAAAAAGAAACTTCGTGAAGCATTCTGGTAGGGGTAGTAAAATGAAGCCATCGTGCGAACGCCTATTTTCCTTTTAATTTTAATTTGCATTTTGCATTCCACTATATACAGCTGGGCATCATACAACAACATCGAAAACATCCAAGATTACTCTTTCATGAGATGTGGCTACTTATATCATCTGTAAGTATTTTTTGAAAAATAGAAATTACTTTTCACGTGATCTACTAGCTGGCAAAGTAGATTTCGTATTACTGTACAACCACAAGGTACGGAACTGTTCGATGACATAACTTTGGCCATTCACTACGCGCAAACGATTTAACCAATCAGAACGCTGGGACACGGCACCTTCACGGTCACCATAAGGGTTCATAAAGAAATCCGCTCTAAACCCATAGCTATTTCATGATGAGAGTTACTTTTGCTTCACTTTCTCAAGTTTTGTGTTTTTATTTAACAAGCCTGCTGAATAACAATCGACTGAAGCGCATTACGAGTGGAACGTTTAATGGGGCATTCGGTTTACAAATACTGTAAGTGACATCGCTAATGATCATTATCATATCGATAATTTACTTTATATCCTATTATATTTGATATAAAATCAATATATGCATCTGGCAATTGACATTATCATGAACTGCTGCCCAGTAGATAGAGTTCTGACATACAGAATGCCCTTATTATCCCCCTCCCCCCAAATTATCCAATTCCAGGTTTAGAACATGCGACACGTTCGACGGACACGAGTGAAAAAGGTCTGCGCATGCTCCGAATCCGAATTAGTCAAAACCGATGTAAATAAGCCTGAAGCGAGATGACGTTTTACCTCCGTCTCTAGACCATAATCCTTTTCACACTGCTTTTGTTCTTTAATTTTGACTATTGTTCCTGTATTCTCTAAGGAATCAAAAATTTTAATATGAAAGAAATTTAAAAACTATTATGGTATAGAGTCGCTTCAGCCTTATTTGGCTTTCAAACATGCCTGATAAAGCTAATTCTTTCATATTGTGTCTGTTAATACAGCATCTTAGTATGACAAAAGTATACTCGCGATTTTTTTTTTTTTTTTTT